GTGTGCTGGCAACTCATGGGGCAGCAACGCCCCGCCGTCGGGGTCGCTGCGAGCCGTGGGACCGGCTAGTGGCCCGCGGATCGCGTCGGTCTGGGCACTGGACAAAGGGAGTATGTACGGTTTGGCGCTTGAGCAGCCTCAGAGCGCACATCAGGGTAGCACGGCTGGCCGCACGCCACCCGAGCCTGCCCTGAGCCGGCCCAGCCGCAGGTGGCTGCTGCTCATGCCCATCCCGCCCGCCGGGAGGCCGCGTACCTCCTGTTGTAAGGAGGCGATCTGGCGGCTGAGCGCCGACTCCACATTGCCCCGCATGAGAACCATGGTTGCATCGCCAGCCAGGAGCAGCAGCACGGTGCTCGCCGCCGCGGCCTTGACGATGGCGATCAGGCCCGGCATGATGGTGGCTGGGCGGCAGTCGAGCGCAGCGAGGACTCACAGTCGCCGACAGCCTTGTTGGATCGAATCTGCGATGCAGCGATGCCAGGCTGTTCCCTCAAAAATCGGCGTCTCACGTACATCTTTATTTTTATTATTTCTTCTTTTCGCCGCATTGCCAAGAGCCACAGCCTCTTTCTACATGCATACATACAGCCTCGCCTAAAAACTCTCCTTTTTTACATTACTAACAGCTGGCCCACAACGCCCTCTATGTTTTGTGAGCTATATACCTCGTTTCGATTGAGAGAGAGATTTTTAGCAATACCAAACAAATCTAACACTTTGTTTTGTGTTCGATTGTGCAAAGACAGATGTATTGATAGATATTTTTAGCAATACCAAACAACTCTAACTTGTTTTGTTGATGTATTGTGACGCGCATATTTCCAACGGGATCACACAGCTCGCACATACACATATAGCTCACCTTCACACATTCATCTGTCTATGCAGAACCGAGCAGCGAATCACATGAGCGAATCGATTTGATCTTGACGTTGCGCACCATAGTCCATAGACAGGACTATGTGCTGTCCATAGCAACGCCGGCTGGCCTGGCCACGCAGAGAGACCCCAGCCCAGACAGAGAAGCCTGGGCTCAGTTGTGGCGACGAGAGGTCAGGTGAGGACCTCTGACTCCGTGAGGACAGCAGAGTGAGGACCTTTTCGCGGAGCAGAGATAGAGCAGAGATAGAGGTCGATCTCGAAGTCGATCACGATCGATGGGAACGGGCGTCACGCGGCGTAGTGACCAGTGCATGCCGCCCAACAACATTCGACTGCCACAGGTCATATCCTCTCCCGGCCCATGAACTCCGTCGCGGGAGGCAACGGTGAGGACCTCTTGTAGGCTGTTTGAGGACCTCTATGTCAGCTCCATGTCCATGTCCATGTCCATGTCCATGTCCATGTCCATGTGGTAAGTGATGACCTCTTCTCCGAAAGATGGGCGTGACGCGGGAGCCTGAGTCGCAGTGTCGCTCGCAGCACGTGCTCGGCAGGTCATACTTCTTGAGACCAATGAGCTCGATCCGAAGAGGTAGGTCCTCCAATCGGGGAGGACTCACAGCTCTAGCGTGCCAGGCTGAGGACCTCCATGGTGGGTGAGGACCTCTCACTGGACTCATTGTCGTAGCTCTCGCTGTGGCTGTCTTTGGGAGCTTGCGACTCTCGCATCCTCGGCGGGCGTGCTCCATACAGAGCGAGAGGACACGGATATCCTTCGTGACTAGTCACGGGCCGTCGTGCAGCATGCACAGGGGGGCACGTCACACACAAGAATCTCATTTTCTCACACCAGTGCCAGTGCGCGCCAGTCCCGTGCCCAGTGTCGTGCGAAGGATTTTTGTTGTAAAATTCTCACACCCCGCCCGCAGTGTGCGCGTGCGCGCCGCCGCGCGAGCACACACTTACCCGACCGCGCGGCGCGACATCGGGGAGAACAGCGAGCAGGAGCTTACGGGTTGTGAATCATAGAATATTCTGCTACGTACGATGACATGCACAACACAGTATTGGGCGGCGGTTAGACGACTCCGCTTTGCGACGTATAGAGCCCAGCGTCTCGACAACTGCACACGTCAGCTCCATCGTCCGCAGCTGCAGCGTCACGCCGCCTTCACGCTCTTCTGCCTCCGCCGCACCTCCTTCTTTAGGCGTTTCTGGAATTTCTTCTGTCCCATGCGATACTGCAGGAAGAGCAGCACGCCGAGAATGACGAGCACCACCTCGAGCGGCAGGCGCGACGCGCTCCAGTGAGGCGACGGCGCAGCCTCCTCGCCCTCGCTCGCGGACGCGCAGGCGAGTAGTAACGGAATCAGCAGCGTGAGGCGCGACGGCAATCGGTGATACATTCTGGAGGCCGGCGGCGTTGGTGGCGTGGAGGCTCGACGGCCCGATGACAGCGCTGCTGCGTTTCTTTTGTGCGGTCTTTAAATCTTTTTGAGCTTAGCCTTCGATGTTATGAAACAACGCAAGGCGGACATGGCATATCGCTCTCGGGCCCACAGACATCCCGCACACTCGCCGCACACCCGCCGCCCCCGCGCGCGCCCCACCCCGGCCGGGAGAAAGGGGAGTGACAGTTTGGGATGGACAGCCCGAGTATGTTGAGTCCTGGCTCAACAACGCAGGGAACAAGAGGGGGTGGTCCGGCTCACAGGTCCGGCTCACGCGCCTCGAGCTTAAAACATCTACCGCACTGAACACTTTCGCCCCCTCGCTCCCAACCCATCCACCCCGCCCCGGGCCGCGCCGCGCGATCTCGGGCGATCTCGCGCGATCTCGGGCGATCTCGGGGCCGCGCCGCGCTATCTCGGGCGATCTCGCGCTGTCTCGGGCGATCTCGGGGCCGCGCCGCGCTATCTCGGGCGATCTCGGAGCGTCGCTCGCGCGGCGTCACACCTGCTCAAGGCATGTTGTGCGAGTATATGGGACAAAAGCGTCGAAAATGTCCCAAAAAAGCGTGTCTCGAGTTTGTGGCAGCTCCGCAGCCTGCGCGCGCTGCCGGGACGCACCGCTTGCTGGATCTGTGCACTCCCTGGGTCCCAGGGAGTGCACAGATCCAACAGGAGTGAGTAGACTCGACGCCGTACTCGAGATGGAGCTGCCACAAACTCGCCGCCGAGCGTGCCACCGACGGCGTCCTGGCGGAGGTGGTGGAGTTTGAGACCCGAGGCTGCGGAGGTGACGCCTGAGGTACCGGGCCGTGCACGGCGACTCAGCCGGCGACCGCCACGGGCTCAGACGAGACTTGTCGACGCGTTCCGGCTCAGCTTCACCGTGGTCCTCGGGCGTCTGTCGACGTCAGGACCACCCATACAGCTCGCGGGTTTGAGGTCGCAAGAGCCAAGATGGTGGCGTTTGGACATCCCAACCATCACACAAGACAGCCTGTAGGTGGTGGCGGGACGGCGCAGTGTTTGTGGCACTCGGCAGTAGGCACCCGCGGCACGGCCCCGCTGTCGGCTCTCGCGGGCTGCGGAACCGGCCCCAGAGGGGGACGGTCCGGGCGAGTGTGGCAGCTCCTGCGCTAGTATGGGCAGCCTCTATCATAGCACTACTGATCCTGGTCATTAGAGCTGCCAGGGATAGCGTCAGGAGCCGGTAGGAGTCAAAACCCCTCATATTTGAGACATCGTGTCCCATATACTCGCACAACGAGCCTCAAAAAGGAAGGAGGTTGGAGGCAGGAGGTCACGCCCCATCCAGAGCGCCGTCGCCGCCGGGTTTTTGGCCCCCGGGTCGTCGCCCGACGGTTGCTGCGCGGGGCAGCAGACCATCGGACGGCGCATGCACAATGCCGCTCTCCCCGCACGCTAGCTCGTTCACCGTCCCAGTTCTTGGTTGTCCATGTGACCTCGTCCAGGTGCTGAGCATGCGAAAGTTTGTTGCTCAGCTGGTTCGCCGCCTCCCTCAGGGTGCTGCGAACCTCCTTTCCAAAGCCTCCGAAGCTCTCGAAATCGAACAAGCGCAGATCGCAATCCTGCTCCCGCGCAAATAGGGAAGAAATCCGCAGGTACGTTTTGGAGCTATGAAGGGTTAAAGTTGGAGTTCCGGGCAGCTCCGTGACAGGTCTCGCTGTTGTAATAGACAAAAGAGCTTGGAGCTTAAGCTAAACGAAACACAATTCAGGAGATGCGCATTTCTCGGCATCGCCGGCGCAGCACGTCTGACGTCTCCCCCTCGGCCTCGAGGTCTCACAACACCAAATGCCACTCTACCAGGCCGTGCCAAGCCTGTGCATGTGCGTCACATGTCGCGCATATATGCTTACCTGGACAGAATGCGTGCTTGTGTACAAAAGTGCGCGGCGCGATGTGGCCTGGCCGCACAGCGCGCTTACGCGCCCGCGCCACCACAGCGGCCGTGACCATGCCCCCTCTCCTCCGATTCGACCCTCCGACACCCTCCGCGCGGGGCGCCTAGGAACCGCCGCGTCCCTGCAGAGAGCGCCTGCGCGCACATCAGGCGGCCGGCGATGCGGGGTCGAGGCTGCCGGCCCAGCCATCGTCCGTCCAGTGCTTTGGCTCCTGCCAGCCGTTGAGCGGGCCGCGCGGGCCCGTGATGGGCGAGAGGGGCGCGATGTCGCCCCAGCCGGGGACGCGGCTGATGAAGCGGAGCATGGCGACAGCCTGCGCGAGCGGCTTGTAGTCGAGCGTCGTCGGCCGTGCCCTGCCGCTGCAGCAGCTGGTGTAGTAGATGAGCGCCATGGCGATGGTGCCGCCCACGTGGACCGCGGCCGGGTCGTCGGCGAGGGTGTGCTCCTATTCACGGCGGCCGCGGTGTGAAGAGACGCCGTCCGCCCCACCCCTGCGGCGTGCGCTCAGGGCGTGCACTCGCGCGCGCGTGCGTGCGCGTGTGCATGTGCATGTGCATGTGCGCATGTGCATGTGTGTGTGTGTGTGTGTGTGTGTGTGTGTGTGTGTGTGTGTGTGTGTGTGTGTGTGTGTGTGTGCGTGTGTGCGTGCGTGCGTGCGTGCGTGCGTGCGTGCGTGCGTGTGTGTGTGTGTGCGTGCGTGCGTGCGTGTGGGTGTGCGTGTGTGCGTGTGTGTGTGTGGCACCTCGAGCGGCGACCGCCCCTTGAAGCGGGGGTTCGACAGCCGGAGCGAGCGCACGGTGCGCGCAAAGGCCGCGTGCTGGTTCGAGAGCGTCTCGCTGCCCCCGCGGGTGAGGAAGATGGGGCAGAGGGTGCGCATCGCGGCGGTGCTCGCGCCGCTCGTGTCGCCGTCCCAGCTGAGGAGGCGGGGGGGGTAACGGCGGCGGGGTAAAGGTGTGGGTGAGGAGGCGGCCGGGAGGTGTCTCGGAAGCGTCTCGGAAGCGTCTCGGAAGCGTCTAGGAGGCGTCTCGGGCCTCGGTCGGAAGGGTCTCGGAAGTGTCTCGGAAGTGTCTCGGAAGTGTCTCGGAAGTGTCTCGGAAGTGTCTCGGAAGGGTCTCGGAAGTGTCTCGGAAGGGTCTCGGAAGGGTCTCGGAAGGGTCTCGGAAGGGTCTCGGAAGGGCCTATCGCCTGCTCTCTCCGTCGTGGATTCCGCGCCCCACAAACGACACGAGGCCGTCTGGTCGCTCGCGCTGCGCCGCGGTGGCGTACGCGGACTGGAGGAAGGAGGTGATGAGGGGTGGGATGCAGTCGGCGCCGCCCCCGTACGAGAGGTAGCCGCCCTGCTGCGGGTTGTTGCCCGAAAAGGACTCGGAGTCGATCGCGTCGTCGGTGAGGCCGAGCCAGGGCGAGATGAGCACGATCGCCGCCGGCGGCTCTCCGCCGCGCCGGCCCTCTGCCGTGTCGGGCAGGCTGCCGCCGCACTCGGATCCAGGGCGGAGGCGCGTCGTCGCGTTGAGGGCCGCGGCGAGGCAGAGGTTGCCTCCGGCCGAGTCGCCGAGGAGGATCACGTTGTCCGGCCCGTAGACCTAAGGTTAGGTCAGGTCAGGTAACCACACACGCGAGGTGGTGGGGCAAGGGGGGGCGACCCTCGCGTCTCCACGTCTAGCGACAGGAGCCCCACCGGCACTTGAAAATGTGCAAGGCCCGGTGCGCGTGGGTGGTGGTGTGTGTGTGTGTGTGTGTGTGTGTGCGTGCGTGCGTGCGTGTGTGTGTGTGTGTGTGTGCGTGCGTGCGTGATGTGCGTGTGTGTGTGTGTGTGTGTGTGTGTGTGTGTGTGTGTGTGTGTGTGT